GAGGGAGTAGTCACATGCTTTTACTCCAAAAGTATTTTAACTTCAGCAAGAGAGTTTGCAGACAGATATTTTCAAAGAAGGTTTGATCAGAAGGTGTCATCTGAAATTACACTGTCTGTTTTTGTACTGTTATGGCCAAAAAAAAAGGCGATGGATCTGAGGCGTTCAGACTGAGACCCACCATGGCAGTATCTGCGGCTCCCAGCCTCCACCAGCAGCCCCTGCCTCGGTCTCCTTGGGGAGGAGCGGTCCTTCCAGCCGCCTGCTTTCTCCTCATGGCTGGGAAGCTAGGAATTAGCTTCACCACTTCGTGCTTCTATGCTCTTCCCTTGCTGTGACCGCAGAATTGTTGCAGCACTTTGTGCAATGCCAGGCTTGCTACCTGTGTGCTGCAGCTCAGCTCTGCTCTGCTCAGGATAGGGCTGAAGCATCCCATGCTCTCCTCTCACCTGGGGAAGGTTGCCTAGTTATACAGGTGGCCTAGTTATAATGCATGGAGTACCGGATGGACACCAAGAAGGACTTTCTGGACACCTGGCCGGGTTTTACAAGTCATGGACTAGACTCTTAGTCATATGATTTATTTTGAGGTAGCCCTGCGAGCAGTAGGGAGTTGGACTGGACGATCCTTATGTGTTGTTTCCAACTTGAGATATTGTATGATTCTGTGATTCTGTGTTAGTTATTTGGTCTGCATCAGTAAGTGATGCAGGTCACTCATAGGTGCCCTCAACCATCCTTCCTATCCTCCATCTCCTGCAGTGGAGGTGCTGGCTTTAATCTAGCTGCAAGATACTAAACCCAAGCTAGCCTAGGCTTCAGTAGGCATCGCCAGAGGTAGCTCAGCTCTTCAGCATCTCCTGGGATGTCAGAGCGTCTCCATCATCTACAGACATCCTAGGAAAAGTCCTCCAGCTTAAGCACCTGACATACGGCTGGATGAATCTAATCCTTTGTGCCTTATAATGGCATAACCAGAGTCACTAGCTTTGGAAAGGCATTAAAAAGTGAGGAAGCCTATGAAAGCATGCTGTATTGTCATTAGGGTAAATGCTTAACATCATTATGCTAAAGGAGTTGGGGTTTCTTTGAGTGCATCTGTCATTTGATTCCTAACCTCAAAGACCAAAAAAGTGACCTGCTTTCAGAGACTGCCTGCGCGGTGTCACTGGAAAGCAGATTTCTTTTTAAGAGGATCCATATGGATATACAAATCTGTCATTGCTTTTGAAAACTGAATTAGTCTTTAGTTTGCTTTTACTTGAACTGAAAGCATTGCGCTAGCAACCAGGAGGACTGGATATTATTAGTAACCTTTTACAGGAAATGTGGTGTGTCATGGGTTGAGCATATATTTTTCTGGAAAATGCAGTGTACAGTGAAATGGGGGAAATAAGTAAACACAAAATGCTTATACCGCAGTTCACTCTATTTGAATGCCCAGCAATACACCTCTGAGGTTACCTGCTCACAAAGGAAGAAGGGAATGATATTTGAGATTTATTTTTGGCTAAAAGCGTGAAGTGCAAATAGCTTTTTGTGCAAAATGTCAGCTGCATTTCTGGGAAGTAAACAACATTGCCTTAATAATCCATGGTAAATAACAACACTAAGAATGTTACCACCTATTATACACACCTGCAGGTGTACCTGCCCAAACTTATGTAACTGTAGTTTGACACAGGAAATAAATACAGAAAAGTAAAACAAAGCATTTCAAACAAGTTAGTCTGTTAACAGCAGAATTAATGAAGTATAGGATGAAATTCAGCTCCAGGTAAAATTTGGGTGCCTACATGGAGGTATTCATGTATGGAGAAGACATCTGAGCTATCTGAGCTACCACTACAGTCTACAGAGATCTAGGGCTTGACTCAGTTTTGTCCAGCATCACTGGGGATACTGTAGGGTATCTATCCTGGCCTCCAACTAGACACAGATCTCCCATAATAGTGTGTCGTGTCAACCCATTGCCTCAGGATGACTTGGGTGGGCTAGAGTCAGTTGGCACTAGATGACTACATATTGGCAGCTGCATGCAGCCCTAACGTGGTCACCTGTATTTGGGCAGGCTCCATTGTCTATATGATGAATTTCTTTTGATTGAAATGGTGCTTGGATGCCTTGTTAGACCCTCAAGCTTTGGTGTTCAAGTCTGGAGGCAGCTGCCATCCTTGAAGCATGATTGGGTTCCCTAAACACCGCCAGTTGCCTGCTGCAATACCCCGTCATGCCCTGGCTGGAGGATAGTTGGAGATTTAGGAAGACATACATCTCCTGTAGGTCTGGTGCAGATGTCTCAGCCTCAAACAAGAGTAGACACCTCTGTTAAAGTCACTGAATTGAACCTATAAAGTCCAGAAGATTTTTATTCTGGATTTCTTTATCCACTCCCTTCCTCCAGCTCCTTCCCGTGTCCCTGGGTTGCCACTGGGAAGGAGACACATGTTGTGTTGTTCCAAACTGTGTCTGCACTGGTGGCCCAGGCAGTGTCTTTTCTTTACCCACATGCTTATTTTCAGGATGCTTCTAGCAATGTGGTTATTTCTGAGACCTCATCCCTTCTATCAAATTTGGTTAAAAATGGCTGAAGAGGTTCCGCCAGCGACCCCTTTGCTGATGGACTCCCACCTGCTTGTCACCTGCTTGTGCTCTGGTTTTTACCTACCTATCAGACAACATCACTTGCAATACCTCTGAGCGGGATATGTAATGGAAGATTGATTCATACCAGACCGCCACAGTGATTAAGAGAAGACCCACACAAGCTGTCAGTGACACTCCAGTATGATGGAACAGCTAAGAAACAATTAGCTTTAATCTTGCTTTACTTTAGAGCCGGGTAGTGCTCAGTGCAGCAATAGTTTATTCAGCAGTTCATAATGGACATGGGCATCTGCTGTGCTACCAACTGCTTTCGTTTGTAATCACAGTGATTGCAAAGAGTACTTTACAAAACAGTACTGACAGGACACTTCAAATGCAGCGTCACCGGGGTGATTAAGACCAGGCTACTTTTCAAAATCCCAGATCATATATTCTGAATATTTGAAAAAAGGTGGAACAGGGTGGAAGGATGGTAACAAAAACTTGTGGCTCTTCGGTAAGGCCCAGTGCTGTTTATACTGTTTATTTTGGTCTGGTAGACTTTATCAATTTAAAAAGACTATCAGAAAGACAGAAGCCAGGGGACTTGCAAGTATTTATGGTAGCGTCAAGAGATCACAGAGGAAACCTTCCCAAAGTCCATTTTATTGCTCAAACAGGAGAAGTGCTGCAGCACTGATCTCTGCCTTGCTGTGCCACAGAGCTGGCACCCACCCACCTTGTACAGGTGCCAGATGAGTTGATACGAGATTTGGCCCTAGTTTATTTTGGGTAAATATATTTTAGCGGATATTGGTTTGAGTCACCTTTGCCTCATTTCTGTCATCCCAGGCATCTACCTCCGGTGTGAGCTTCTTACCCTCATCAATCCGGCATGAAAGCTGTAATTCATTCCTTCTCAGACCACAAGCAGGTGTAGTGTCCCATACACAGCAGCTGGTGATCAGCCTGCAAGATGTATTGCTGGGAACAGCCTTCTAGAAGAAACTGGTTTTATTTCATAGAATCATAGAATGGTTTAGGTTGGAAAGGACCTTGAAGATCATTGAGTTCCAGCCCCCTTGCCATGGAGGTTGCAGGGATACCTCCCACTAGACCAGGTTGCCCAAGGCTACGTCCAGCCTGGCCTTGAACACCTCCAGGGATGGGGCCTCAACAACCTCTCTGGGCAACCTGTTCCAGTGCCTCACCACCCTTAAAGTGAAAAACTTCTTCCTAATGTTTAATCTAAACCTGCCCCATTCCAGTTTAAAGCCATTCCCCCTCGTCCTGTCACTACATGCCCTTGTAAAAAGTCCTTCCCCAGCTCTCCTGTAGGCCCCCTTTAGGTACTGGAAGGCAGCAATAAGATTGCCCCGGAGCCTTCTCTTCTTTATTTGTTATAATTGTATATAGTGGAGGAAAAAAACCTCCTAGAAGGTAAAAAGAGGTTTAAATCATCAAATATATCACCCAAATGTATAGTTGTGTCTGATCTTGCAGTGCACTGCCAGAAAAGGTAGACAGTTCTGAAGTTTCAGGAACAAGAGGAACCCAACTTATAGTCTCCAGTTCAGTTGGGATCTTCCCACACATGCGTGAAAATCTCCAGACGGGTTTTTCCTGACTAGTAGAAGCATTGCCTGCTTTGGGGGTGAGCCCTGCTCAGATTTAGCCACATTAGTCCTGTGTGTGATGGGTTGTTTTTGCCTGGAAGGCAAAGGTTTTGAAACTATATGACCTGTTAGGTGTTTATTCACAGTCACAATAGATTTTCTTCATGGCCCAGAGGATAATTAAATCAAGGCTATCCATGAAAATACATACAAATGTTTAGAAATGTTTCCAAATATACTATTTGGTTTAAATTTCATGCACATGTATATCATTATATGCTATGAAATATAAATAACAATATTCACACTGAGTAAACGCCAAAAAGGTCCTGAAAACATTCTTGTTATAGTCTTTTCCTACGTGTAAGCAGTACCTTGCTGGATGTCAGTAAGTCTTTCAATTAGTGATTTTCTCCAAGATGGAATACTGACAATTACAGGAAATTCATTACACCACCACTTACAAGAACATTTACACTATGTAGTTTCCAAGGAAAATTTTATCCCATATTCTGTTCCTGAGCTTTGCCTTTTCTTTTTCAAGTTTTGGGGTATTAGAGGTGGAAAGAGAATGTCAGGGTATGTTATTGTCTGTGCTAAACTTCTACACCTGAAATTAAAGTGTTTGGAAATGGCTGCACTCCTTTTTCTGCTGAAATCACCTGTAATAAAGGCAGTTCCACAGACACTGGTGGCGTTACAGCGGCAAACCTAAGATTCAGGCCCTCCTGCCTCCAAGACCAAACATTTGTCCTCCACAATTAATCATTGATTTCCTTTTAACTTCATTGGTTTCAGGTGCTCAACCTGTTCCTGGCCTTGCTGCTAAGCTCTTTCAGTGCTGACAACCTCTCAGCACCAGATGAGGACGGGGAGATGAACAACCTGCAGCTTGCTTTTGCTCGGATCAACAGGGGTCTTCAGTACATGAAACACACAACCTGGGATTTTTGCTGTAATGTCCTCCGGCACCCCAAGACGACAGCTGAAAAGAAGGCCATGATGAAGCTCGCTGCCCAGAATACAGGTGCCCTTAATAATTGTGTGAACAGCCTCACAGCTGCTGAGCTTGGCAAAGACATGGAGAATCACAAAGAGAACCACGCTGAGGATGGGATGAATAAAAATGGGGAGAAACACCTAGGAATTACAGACAATGATGATTTTATGACCAATCCTGACCTGTCCATTTGTGTTCCTATTGCTGTGGGAGAGTCAGATATCGAGGAGGAAGATGAGGAGCAGAGCACCTTTACTGAAATGGAGCAGGTAGGCAACTAAAATGTTTGCTTGTTGCAGCTTATTAAGAGTTCCTTCGTTGCCACCCTTGCTCTGGATCCATGGCTCATGATGCAAATGTCCTATGGCCTAATCCTGCCTTTGATATGTTGTTAACTTCTGAAGAAGTTACAGGGGCATATCCAAGAGCAAAATTCAGTCTCCAACAAGAGGCATTCCCTTTCTCTGTATTCTTTGTGCTTGTCCAGGTTAATTCTTCTAACCAGAGCAATTAAACCCTTTCTCGTGCAGGAGGCTGGTGGGGTTTTTTTGTTTGGTTGTTTTTTTGTTATTTTTTTATTTTCAGCTGAATCATGGGAATGTTACAGAACAAATCTTAGGTCCTCTGACTATGACAGGGGATTTTCTCAGTGTGCAAAAATGGACTATGGCTTGGTTTGATTTGTGCAGCAAGAACTGAGGGCCAGGTGGTTCTCTTAAAAATACAGTGAGGTAGAGGCTGATATGACAAGGCACCAGAGGAAGAGAGAAGATATGTAATCATATGTATTCAGACAGGAAAAATAGTTTTTTTGCCTGTTCTTTGGTGTTACATGGCAGATTTTCGTTTTCCCCGGAACACCCTGTAGTAAAGGCTGAAAAATTCCGTGTGGTTTGAAGTGCTGGTGTAAAACGGAGATGAAAAATCTTCCTGGGAACGCTTTTCTTTCTCTCCTTCCCCTCTCCCCTTTCCACCAGCTTTATCTCTTGCCTCTACACACGATATCTAGTTAATGTTTTCCAGACCCTCCAGCCTTGATCCAGCATCCTCTGACGCCGGCTGAGACCAGCGGAGTTCATTGCAGGCGCTGGATCAAAGCTCCTGTTTCAGATCCAGCTGTCAGGAGTGATCCCGGACCTCTCAGTTGAGGGGAAGAAAGTTTTTTTGAAACAAAACTGTTCTTAGAGAAGAGCTGTCCTAAAAAAGCCCTGAGGAAGGACTCTTGAGCCAGGAGGAAGGCACAAATCAGCTGCTAAACGTTAATTTCTGCTGCTCTGTTGTGGAAATCTTTTCAGTGTTAGTGCATCTGCTCACCAGCACATCTTGCACACTGATCATCCCCTGGGGGAGCTGAAAGGCAAGAGGTCAGAAAACTTTATCATCAAGCCCCACTGCCCAAATAGACACCTAGGTAACAAAAAACGAAGTCTGAATTTTTTTGGTAAACTCTTTTAGGGACATTTTTTTTTTTTTAAGGAATACTTTTATTGAAATGACCTGTAGATCAGTGTGGGTGGCACATGTATTTTTTTCCTTTGAAGTCCTTCTCTATTCCCAGCGTTGTGTTAGTAAAACCTACAAGCAGAGTACATTTGAATATAGTAGATGGGTTTCTTAGTATCAGCTGATCTGTGCATACTGACTAGTATAAATGTGTTTAGTAATGTATAAATATGTTTAATTCTGGAGGTTTGGGTTTTGTTTGGTTTTTTTTTTTCTTTTTGGCCTTTAAATATATCCACACCTTTCTGCTACATCTGGCAGAGGGTCACAATCTTAAAAACTCTCAGATTTTTCCTTCGCAGTGCAAAGCAAAAGTTTGTTAGTCACTTTGCGTGTAAGTGTCCGTGAGGTCTGGAAGCGTGGGCATGTGTTTTTGAACACGTGTGTATGTTGCATCACTGTGTTCCACCTCCCTCAAGATAAATAGTAAGAATCGAAAGCTAAACTGCAGCATAGAGCATGGAGGGCTTGGGAGTTTTACATCTTACTGTACTTTAAAAGTATAGAAATGTGGATTTCTCTTTAGCTGCACAGTGTGTCCATGTAGGTGCTGGTGTGCATGTTAGTAAATGGGACAGGCAGGTGTCCATTTTATGCTGTACAGCAAGTAAATGTGGAATTAGACCTTTAGTGATAACTATTAGAGCCGTGAGGGAGAGGACTGATGTGGAAAGATAGGTGTTTTAGTGAAATGGAATATTATGAATAAAAGTTGATTTGAAAATACTAAGAAAACTTCCTCAAATTGTTTCAATATTGTTGAAACATTATTGTATATAATATAAGCATTGAGGATTCGGAGTGAAACAAAATAGGAGGAAACAAAAACCCAGAATACTGGTTTTGCACTGTATCTTCTAATGAATGTTTCGATAAACGTTAGAGTAATATTGTCATGTTACCACAAGATACTTGGATTGAAGTGAAATATAGTTCGCTGCTAGTGTGTGCATGAAGTAGAAGGTGTGGAGTTGAGAAATGTATTCACTGGCTTTGTCACTAGTGTTTTCCGGGCTTTGACAAACAGCTGCAGCAGGTCTCTGCTGTTCCCCTGTGCATAGCCCTGATCGATGGTTTTCAAACTTTGTCTGCAGGCCTGAGGGGTCTACTGCTGAAAAGGTCCAAACACAAAGCCAGTTCATAAATCCAGCAAACTATTTTATCAAACTTCTAGAGAGGAAAATGTGTGCGTGCAAGGGGCTTGCAACTCAAAGGCTCAAAATACATGGGCATAATAAATAAACAAAAATAGGAAGAAGCTCAACAGCATAAATGGTAATTGTGTGATGAGCTTTGCATTTGCTTTCCTGCAAAACCCTCATCAGTTTGCACAGCTGTAAATGTCTCCATAAGGAGCAGAGCCATGAGAAAGCAGATCCCAAAGATCTGTCATTCTTAATGGTGCCCATTCTGAAGATGTATGATCTTTGGACCCACAAAATAAGTCTCTTGATCATCACATAGGTTACTGCAGAAGAAATGATTGCACCTGGAGGTCAGTATGAAATCACAGTTTCCTGGATATAACACTGTGGGCACTGCGGCGTGCTAACCTTTGTATCAAGGGCATCTCTGTGGGACTCTGGGGAATAAGCTTCCCACTCACTTCTACAAGCTTTAATCCTGTGAGCTCCAAATCCGTGGGGGTCCTTACCTCCTCCCCTCCAGGATGGCCATGATAACCACAGCAGAGCTCGCAAAGGAAGAACAATGTGAACAAGAGCAAATTTACATGATTGCATTGAAAGGGCACAATTACAGTGAAGTATCTTTCTGTGTGGAGGGCATCATACAGAAGCGAAACTACCAAGGGGATGCTAAACATTCAAATCTATTCTAACTTTTCCCTAATTATAATCCATATTTTTACATATTTAAATATTTTAGCATGTACAACGAGAATGTGTATGTATATTTACTTCTCGGGAGAAGACAATGTACACTGCTCCATGTTGAAGTTGTTGGCTGACCTGGAATTTAACAGCCCTTTGGCAACATTGCCAGAACCTCGTGCGTCTGGATTTTTGTGTGATAGCATGGGAGACGAGGCGAAAGGAGATGCATAAACAAGGAGTATGTGTGTGTGTGCCTCTCAAGTGCACGGCTAGGTAAACATACACAATCTTTACATATCCTTTACACTTCTTCTGTCAGTTCTGTTCCTTGTGTGCTCACATCAGTCCAGACTCCTCTATCGTGATGGAGAGGCTAAAGGAAGGCTGGTCTTGGGCAGAACCGCAAAGTTGTTGATCCCGATGAGGTATTTTAGGGTGATGATCAGCTCAGCTTACAGCTCCTGTAGCAATGCCGGACTCTTCCCAAAAAGTCACAAAATTACTCTAAAGTAAGCCATTGTGGCTATGAGAAATGGGGCCCGCAGTGTTACGGGCAGCAGTTTGAAATTTCGGGTGATGAGAAACCCTTCTGTGACTGCATATTTTCCTCTGAGTAATAGAAATGTCTAAGTTTAAATCTCAGCTGCCATTTCTATTATCAAAGCTTACACTGGCAGCAGCCGTCTTCCTGAAAGCTGCCAATTTGTGGCACTGTCACTGACAGGGTTTCGAAGGAACGAGCCCACCTGATAGCTTCTAAATCTCCTTTGATTACTGAGACGCAAGTGAGATGATCTGTGGGCTTGGAGAGCCAGGAGACGCATGCCTGTAGCCCACACATATGGTGAAAGGATCAGAAAGAAAAACTGAACAATAGAAGTCAGCAGAGGTGCGAGAAGCTGGCAGAAGAGGAGAGAGGCTGAGAAAGGACCACCTTGAACTTAATTCAGTTGTCATTACTGTACGATACATGTGTTGATGCCCGTCACTGCAACGTTTCAGCATATGTCTTTATTGAACCCCCCCTCCTTGCCCTGCTCGTAGAGCTGGGGAAGTCTCTCCCTGTCAGTCCACAAGATTTCTTCAGGATTTGATGATAAATTTAGCCTCATAATGAGAACAAGAACAACTGTCTTCCATTTTTCCTCTGTCTTTGAGATCTATAATTTAAAGATGGGTTGTCCTAGCAGGAAAGCAGTTCCTAAAAGCTCAGCAGGAGCCACGGTAACATGCTGACTGCATCTTCTCAAGGTTCTTTTGGGTACTCACACTGGCTTCCTAGATGATTAAAATGTGGAAATTGTTTTCTTGAACCTCCATAGTGTGTCTTGTAATTGCTTATAAAAACCATCTTTTCACATGTGACATCAACTTTCTGTCTCCTGCAGGAGTAAGAACCAGATTATGGGGACAGTAAGGTGATGGGACAACTCAGTGTGCATAGTCCAGTCCACCTGACACAGTGGATTCTACCAGAACTTACCTGCAGTTTAACTACACTGACAGTTTCAGACATCAGAGGGGTTTGTACCATTTACATTAGATATATGTCCAAAGCTTAAATCTTCAAAATTCCTACTTTAGTATTGCTTAACCTTCAGGGTTCCCACAGCTGTAGCCAGAATGGTGCGTGCCTTTTTTACAGTGACATCACTTTGTGGTTCAGAGGAATCCTGTGATCAATGGACTAAAAGGAGGCTGCAGATGAGTAATGTTGGGTGTCCTGAATCAGTCCCTGCAGTAAAGTGTTCTGCACTTATACTGTTCAACTCTGTCTCATTTGTGTTACTCCAGACCTCAAGGATGTCCAGGTCTTTCTGTATGCTATCGGGATCCTTTTCTGCATTGATGAGTTCCTACAGTCAGCAAATTTTATTAGTACAACCTAAGAAAATGCCTTGACCATTTCCTTGTTGTTTGAGTCAGCCCAATAGGGTTCTTATTGCTTTCTCCCCGTTCTTATATTTAATTACTACGTATACTGCCTTACTCAAACTGCTGCCCTCAACTTGATCTGTCTATAACATGCCACTGCAAAGATCATCCACGCTGCGGTGGCTAGTGTGGCTTTTGGCCGCAGCAGTCTGAAAAGCATCTCGCATTCGCCCCCTCTGCCGTGACAAAGCCAAGCACGGATGCTGCTTTCCACAGAGATAACACCTTTGTATTTTCACATGCAGCACAGTGCCGAGCCAGCAGCACTTGCCTGCTTGTCTTCAGAAAATGCCATTATTGATTTGTTCCGACGGAGTGGCTAATTGGGTCATATGGAAAGTGCTGGCTGCCTGCTGCTGGGACGGAGCGCTTTGCAGCTTCTTACCCCTTCCCCGACACCAGGCACGTGCGCCGTGGGAGCGCTGCCTCTCCGTGCGCGGCCACCAGGTCCCAGATCCCACCCATAGCCAATTTGTGCCATCCTGAGCCTGCAAAGATGGCCGAGGGCTGGTCGATCCTCTTGCCCAAGGTTTACCCCTGGCTCCGGAAATCCTTAAATAGCAGAGAGTTGTTGCTGTGCCTGTTAGGGCTCACCTTCCTGTGACCTGGCAGGGAGTATTGCCTGTGGGAAGGAGATAGCATCTTTCGTTGCCTCTCAGGGTTTCCCAGTTGCCTCTCAGGGTTTCCCAGCTGCGTTTTCTCGGTGTGCTTTTCCTAGACCCCCTCCAAGGCAGAGTAGCACCTCTGCTGTGATTTTTCAAGAGGTTTGAGTCTGGGTCTGCACAGAGGACCGGAGAAGTGTACATTGCCTGGGCTGTGCACACCGAATGAGTATTCATTGCTCCACAGCACGCCTTGCTTTCTCCATCGTATTCACATTTTTTTCTCTTTTTTTATTCCCACCCACCCCCACCCCCCTTGTGTACACCCTTGTCCAGGCTCCACCAAATGCACCTCCCAGGAAAACCAGGTTTCCAGACTTTAGATGAGTAACTGCCTCTGTACACATCAATGCTAGAACTGGCTGCCACCACAGTCTCTATTCAGTGGCACAGTTTCTATATTGCCCTGAACTGAAATCAAAACCCCAAGCTTTTATTCTCTTCTTCCCCGTAGTTATTTCACAATTACCAACTCATTTTATTTCATTTGACAAGGTGAAACTGTTTCTGATGGCTTTTTTTGCGTGTTTCTACCAGTGAGGGATTCATAATTTTGAGGTCAGAGAGGGCCATAAGGATCATCATGGTTTAGCTTTCTCATATCACTGGGTCAAAGACTTCAACCACTAATTTCTGCACAGAGACTGTAAGTTTATTTTAGCTGTGATACATCATTTGTAAGATGGAAAAAAGACTGCAATGTCTCAGGTAACAGAGAGTTCACCATCTGCATCTGGACCCACATCTGTTTCCTTTGTATACAGTGGAAATTTTACTGTGTAATTTCTGCACATTACAGGCCTGCTCCTAAACCTGAAATGATTCTATAAAAGTCAATAGAATTATTCCAGGTTGACACAAGTGTAGCTGAAATTATTGAAAATTGCTGTAAAAATGCCAGTGCATAAAGATTTTGATATAAAATTGTTTGTGACAATGTCTTATGCTCCTAATAATTCTAACGTCTATAAATCAGAGATACCATGAAGTCCTGTGTTTATTTGACAGGGTACATTAATTTCAGCCTTTTACTGCAGGAAATATACTTTATTGTCAGGAACCGTAATGCCCTTTCAAACAGTGTTTATATTCTGTCTGTTTTCAGTTACAGTCTGTGGGACACGTTCTCTTTTAGTGCAAATGGATAAAATACCTTTGAATTCTGTGGATGACTCCCCAGTTCTTACTGGCAGGAGAATGAGCCCACGTGTATACATGCATGCAGCATACAATAAATTTTAGAGCATTCTTCTCGTCAGCTATATTTAGGCCAATATTTTACTAATCATTAAGTAAGATAGTGGGGATTTTACATTATTATTACATACATAGTTTGCCTGGATTTCTCCCTTTTTAAACTGTATGTTTTGCTTTCTATTTATTGAAAACTGCATAGAACTCAATTATTTGCTAATTATTTTTAGCAATAAAATAGAACATTTCTGTATTTATTGTCTTCAGAAGAATAGCAGCAAGGCCATTAGAAAAAGAAAAAAAAGGACTGTAAATCACAGTAGCAGATTTAAAGCACTTATGCCCTCCTCTTTGCTTCTACATATAGGAAGACATTTGTGTTTGTTTTGTTTCAGTACGATGGGGCAGAAGAAGACTCCGTGACAGATCTCTGCTGACGTGATTAGAGCAGTCACACTGCAAACAAAGGTTTTAGGGTGCTTATTCAGTGCGCGGTGGCAGGGAAATATATTTGTCCGCAGCATAATGCCTAAGGTGCAGGAAATACAGGGAGCTGATGGAGGAGAGAAAGAGAAGGGAGAGGAGAGAGAGAAAAAAAAATAAAAAATCCTGGCATTGAAAGAGCTGATATCAGGCGTAGCGGACTTGACAACATGCATTTGGACAAGTGCCCAGACCGTGGACTACGCGTCAGTCACAGCTTACTGGGTGCCATTTCCCAGTATCCATATCTCTCCCTGGAGCGAAACGCTGCCCAGAAATGAGCATTTCTCACTGTTTCTCCCTTTGGTAAAGAAAATGCCGACATTTAACATTTTGGACAAAATGAACAGCAGCCAGTTCCCCAGCGGCTCCTGTGCCAAGTGAGACAGTGCGTGCGTGCCTGTGTCAGGGGGTTGAAATTATTCTCATTAATTATGGCCCAAAATAGCAAAATTTAAAATAACGGTTATTTTGTTGTTATTGTCTGTGATAATATGAGACTTCCCTAATGATGAAAATATCGACATCTTCTTTGGGTGAAAGGTTCCTGGTTATTTGAGGCACTTTCACTCACTGTACCTTGAGGCAAACTTCCAAAATTTAAACTTCCATCAGAGGAGCCCATTAGTTGGAGTTCTTCATATTATACTGTGGACAGATCCCAATTACCAAAAGAAACATAAAGTAGATTGTGATTAAACTTCAAAATGCAATTTAGCAGAAGGTATTAGCTTGAACTCTGAACAATGAACACTTATGAAACACTTTTGCTGCCTATTTAAGCCTGTTGAATTGATAACAGGCTAAATTAACTTTGGCAGTCCATCTTTTTGCCAAGTTCTCCCACTTAGACTAATTTTCAGAGTCAACCCTTGGAATAATGAATCTGTGTTTTATTACGGGCAGTGTGTTGCGCAGTGTGGGAAAAGATCTTAGGCCAGGAAGGCAGAAGTCATTAGAAATAATGTGCCTTGCTCCTCTGCGGTCGGAGTTCAAAGACTTAAAATATTCTGGATTAATCCATGGAGGAGCACTGCTAAACTGCTCTTTCCTTTTTTTAAACTGGTCTTTCCCTCCTTGAGGGACAGTGTTTGGCAAAGCATCCTGCGCTTGTGCAGAGACCAGTGTCTAGCGGCTGTGATGATGTTTGTCTGGTGAAGTTTTAGTTCACCTTTATTCAAAATGAAAGAAAATAGCAGGCCAGGCTGGTTCCAAGGGAGGTTTTGCTGTTAACAGCCTCTGCTGAGCAGCTGTGGTTTCTGGCCAGTCTTAGCCTTCACCATTCTGAATTTTAAGGGACAGATTCTGGTATTTTTATCCAGCTAAGTACTCACAGGTGCATTATTTTTTAGAACAAGTACTGCACTTGGCTTCCGAATACCCTACAACTTTCAGGGGGAAAAAAAAAGATGAGTTTCTGAGGTGCACCAGGAGGACAAGTTCTGTGTTTAGCTACACAGGTGTAAGTTCAAACTATGATGGCATTAACTCTGACAGATGACAGCTCAATTGGAAACTCCGTTGGGACCTGCAGACATCCAAGTAGAGGGGCATAGTTTCATCTACCAATGCGTTTACCAGGAGATGTGCAACAGGCCAGTGCTGTTTC